ACATGAGTTACATTGAGTTCCTGATTCGCAATTATTACAATGAGGTGAACAGATAACGCAGGTAGTATTATCCAAATAATAGCCTACTTTGCATATTGAACAATTGATTGAAGAGCCAGAACATTTTGTGCAAGAAGAATTGCATTGGGTGCAAGTAGAACCATCAAGATAATATCCAATTACACATGAAGAGCAATTTTCTGTATTTGAACAGGCCACACATGGAGATTAGCATAATTTACAAGTTGTAGTATCTAAATAATAACCAACGATGCATGATTGACAGGTGTTGATAGCACTGCAAGTTAAGCAAGGGTCTGGACAATCAGTACATGTTGAGTTATTCAAATAAAATTCAGATGCACAGGATTGACAATTAGTGGAAATACCAACACATGATGTACAAGTAGAATTACAAGCCATGCATTTTGTTTAACCACTATCATAATATTAACCTGTTTCACAAGTACAATTTGAGCAAGCTAGTGTTTGATAGATATAATAAAATTACTTGCACATTTGTTGAATTCATTTACCTACGTATTGACTATCGCAGCTCAAACAGTATCCAGTTGTATCAGCACAAGTAACACAATGCAGGTCACATTGACTACAAGTTTAGCCATTTAAGTAATATCCGATAATGCATGAAGTACATTTTGTAGAGGTATCAATGCAAGTCTTACAGGTCGTAGAACATTAGTCACAAGCATCACCAAAGTAGCCAGAAGCACAAGCGTCACATTTTACAGAGCCATTTAAGAATTAACAAGTGGACTGGCATTATGCAGGACAATCTAAGAAAATTAATTAGTAAATTTACGTTTGCAGGTTGTTCCGTCAAGATAATTTGATTATTTGCAAGTTGAACATTGAGAAGCTGCTGATCCAGAGCATGTAGCACATTCTTAAGCGCATAATTAGCATTGCGCTCCATCAAAGTAATGTCCATCGACACAAGTTTCGCATGTTGAAGCATTTAAACAGTTTAGGCACGGTGAGTTACAAGCATGACAACTGTTTGATTCCAAGTAGTAACCATTAACACACTTTTAACAATTTGTATTTCCAGATACCGAGCATTGTGTGCAGGGAGATTGACAAGCTTCACAAGTCTTACTTGAATCGATGTAATAATATCCAACAAGACAGGTTGAGCAAACATTTTCGGATTCGCAAGTGTCACAGTGGTTTATGCATTATGAGCAGGAATTATTATTCAAGAAGTATTTGGATAAGCAGGATAAACAATGGGTGGCTGAAGTTTCACAGGTGGCACAAAGGCTGTTGCAAGCAGAGCAACCATTTCCTGATATGAATGATCCAGGAGAACATTATTTACAAGTACCATCCAAATAATAATTTGATTGGCAAGAAGTACATTCAGAAGCACTGTTGCACTTAGTACATCCAGTTGGACAAGTTTAGCATGAAGTTCCTTCAATGTAGTAGCCATCAGTGCAAGATGAGCATGTAGTTTCAGATGTGCAAGTGGTGCATTTATCATTGCATTTAGTACAAGTGGAATTATTAAGCCAATATCCAGGATTACATATAGTACATTAACTAGAGCTTTCACACTCCACACATTGACTTGCACAAGGTAAACATTGATTGCCTTCAAGGTATCTTCCTGAATTGCATGTTGTACAATTTGAATCACTGTTCAAACATGATTTACAAGTAGTAGAGCAATCATAACAATGGCCAGAAGAGTAGTATTAAGTACTTGTGCATGCTTCACATTATCCATTGACTATCTGATAGCCAGAATCACATGAGTTACATTGAGTTCCTGATTCGCAATTATTACAATGAGG